GGACAGCAAGCTGGACTCTCCCAAAAACCTCTACCTGGGGCGTGTGATGGGTGAGCTGGGTCCAGCCCTTGGCCACCCCTTTCCCATGCTGGAGTCTCCAGGGTCTCCTCTGCCCAGCATGGCCCTTGCTCTCCAGGAGGGATGAGCTATCTCCTTCTGTACTCCCACAGAAACCGGTGTGATTGACCCTGAGATCCAGCGCTACAACACACCTGGCTTCTCAGGCTGCCTCTCAGGGGTGAAGTTCAACACCCTCGTGCCCCTCAAAACCATCTTCCACCCCACCAGTGCCCTGCGACCCTACAGCATTCGGGGGGAGCTGGTGGAGTCAAGCTGTGCCTCAATGCTCCCCCTTACCACCATACTCATCCCTCCTGAGATGGACCCCTGGTACATGGGCATAGGTAGGTGCTGTGGTGAGACCCTGGCTTGAACAGAGCCCCTGACAAGCACCAGCTGCAGAGGGGAAGCTCCAGCACAAGACCTCGCTGCAGCCCACTCTCAGCTACCCACTCTATCTCTGCAGAGTTCCCCCATGTGCATGATGACGGCTGGATTGGGATCATCATTGGGTGTAAGTGAAGCCCCTGGATGGTGTCTCATGCTCTGCCCTGGCCCTGCACCTTCTTCCCAGATCCTCACTGCTGCCTCTCCCCCACAGTTGTGATCTTCCTGCTTCTGCTGTTGGGGGGGCTGCTGGCACTGCTGTACTTCTACCACCACCGCTACAAGGGCTCCTACCACACCAACGAACCCAAGGCCATCCAGGACTACGGCAGCGCTACCAAACCAGCGTCGGCACGCAAGGACCAGAACTTGCCCCAGATCCTGGAGGAGGCGAGAGGGGAATAGCAGGGGCTGGGGGTGGGACAGGCTCACAGCCCCCACATCCCCAAGACCTGCCCGGGGATGAGCGAGCGTCGCGGGACCAAAGGGCCGAGCACACCTGAACTGCCAACATCCTCCTCTGGACGGCCCAGACCGCACCGACCACCATCTCCTCCCCGTGGCCACCACCGACCGGCCCCGGATCACGGCTGTGACCTGCCGAGCCCCAACCCCACTCGCCCTGGGCACGGCGGCAGCCCCCTCGCCGGAGGCAGGCTGCTGCCCCCGCAGCTGCCAAATCCCGCCTGGCCTCCCGTGGGGAGCCCCGGGCCCGGCCCCCACCCTCCCTGTGGCCGGGGGCACCCGGCTGCTGCCACCCGTTAGCGCTGCCCGCGTAGATGACCCGCTGCTTTGCTCGCTTCGCCAGCGCCACGCAGAGCCACGAGCACTGGCCCCGCACAGCCGGGGCGCCGAGCAATACCTTGCGCCGGCGCCGCGCATGCCGCCGCTGCACCTTGCTGAGATGCTGCTTTCGTAAGATCAGGTACAGATCCTTTCTACCATTTTTGTTGCTGGATATTCTACTACACTCTGGGTTTTTTTATTCTATCGGTTTGTATAAAAAAACCAAACGGAAGCTCCCGCGGGCCCGACGTTCCGCGTGTCATGGTGCGTGGTCTGTAGTTTGCTACTTCTCTGTACGAAGTGCCAGTCCTGCTGATAACCTCCAGCCCAGGGAAAGCTCCTGTTCACTCGCTGTGTTGTGGTAAGACGATGTTACAGAAACGCATTTATCTACCCAAAGGCCTGGCTCCACTGGGCACTTTATTTTTAAAAATCCTGTTCTGTTGAATGAGATGTGAGGATAATCAAATAAAGGCAGAATGACGGCGTTTGACACTCCCCAGCCTTCCCCTTGGCAGCCCAGGCAGATCCTCTCCACCCACCCTAGCTTAGCCTGCACCAGGAGAGGGACCACACAGACACCAGCAATTCCTGCTCCTGGAATGGATTGCAGGGTGTAATTAGCCAGGGCTAGAGGCAGCTCAGCTGCTGCTGCACACACACATTGTGTCCTGCTTTCCCTGCCACACACCTCTGTCCCCTCCCCACCCTGAGCCAGTGTGATTTGGGCAGCTGGCAGTTCCTGACCACTCGGGATTCCCCCTGGGCTCTGAGGAGCCATGGCTGGGCTGAGCCCAGCAGGCAGGGGACAGGCAGGGGACAGGCAGGGAACAGGCTGCTGCCAGCTGCTCCCGAGGCAACAGAGACCAGCAAGCAGGGGAGGGTCTTCGCTACCACTTTATTATGACAAAGGCTACAAGCCATGTTATTTAAAGTGCATTATTATTACCATTATTCACCGTCAACAAACCACAGACAAAAGCCTGGCATAGTGCAGCTATGGCCGAAGTGGCAGAAGACGCTGAGCCAAGAGCAGGGTTGAGGGGAGCCAGGCGGACGGAGGAGGCAGGGAGCAGGGCTCAGGCAGGTGCTGGGGTACAAGCACTGCTCCAGACAAACCCAAACACCTCCAGGCTCCAGGAGGGCATCATGGACAGTGGGAAGGATGGACAGACAGCCTGGCCTGCCGTGGCAGGGGACTGGGGAAGCATGGTGAGGGCTGGGCCAGGGAGAGCTTGGCTCCCAGGCAGACACAGCAGCTCTCTGTGTTCTTGTACCACACAGCTGGAAGGGGGTGGGGAGCCCCAGCCCCCTCGGTGCCAGGCCAGGGCTTGGCCAGGCTCCCTGCACCATCCTGGGAACCCAGCCCTGGACATTGGGCAGAGCACGGCCCAGCACCCAGCACCAGGCTGGGCAGGTAGCTGGCAGCACATGTGCCTCTCAGGGGACAGCCCCAACCTTCAGGTCATGCCAGGCCCCATCAGCCTGCCCTGTTCCAAACCCAGAGCGATGTCCCTGCAAAGGTGCTGATGGATGCAGGTCGCCCAGGATGCCTGCAGTCCCTCCATACCCAGCATGAAACACAGGGCCCCAGCCACCAGCTGGGGATTAGTTTAAAGTGCTTTTTTCTTTCCTTTTTGCATTGGGCGCTAAGGCCAAACCTCACCCCACCAGAGAATATTTCCCCTTTATCCTCAGGGCCAGAGGATCACAAAGCCCAAGGCAGGTTTCCGAGGAGCCTTCCCTGGGCCACCATGGGCACTGACTTTAACATTGTCTCTACCCAGCTCAGTGGCATCCCTATTCAAAGTGACGTGTTGCATAGTGCTGCTCTCCCATCCCCAGGTATCCCTTGGTGCCAACTCCAGCCATGGCTGGGTGGTTCCTGTGCCCCAGCCAGCTGGGGCAGAGGGGAAACCACCTTGGGACAGCAGCTGGGGCACAGGCACTGCTCACACTCCTGCCCTGAGTCTCTCTGGGTGTCTGGATGGAAAGTAGCACTTGTGACACACACAGCAGTGGGAACAGCAGCAGTCATGTCAGCGTGAAGCAAACATGGCATTGCTTACAAGGTGCAGCAGCAAGGTGTGCCGGGACTGCCCCCGGGCCTAGATGATGTCTGTCTCCCTCTCTATGCCAACGTACTTCAGGGCATCTGCCTGGCTGTACCTGCAAGACAGGAAGTCATGGCTGCAGCAATGACCTCCCACAGTCCCCACAAACCTCTACAGAAGGTGGGGTCACCCCTGCAGCCCACTCCCCTGCTGTCCAAGGTACCTGTAGTCAAAGAAGAGCTCCTCTCCTGCCTGGATGGCTCTCTTAGCGAAGATGCCAATCCGGTGGTCTCCGTTCACCATTACAACTAAAACCAGAGAGATGATATCAGAGACGGGCAGCCCCAGCTTGGACCAGAGCTCTCCCAGCACTGTACCCTGCCTGGTCTGACTGGGCAGGGGGATCTCACCTTTGGCATAGCAATTGGGGTTCACCGAGTGGTTAGCAAAGCGGATTTTATTTCCTTTGCGGGTGGCGTCAACAACAAAATCTATTTAAAAAAAAAAAAAAAGAAAAAAAAGAAGAAAACTGTGGTGTAAGGCCAGGCCTGTCACCTGGGCTGAGCCTGCCTGCCTGGCCAGCAGCCCTGGCCTCTCCAGCCCTGGCAGCCCCAGGGAATTACCATTGTTGAGGTTGAAGAGGAAGCTGGACATGTACTTGTCATAGACCTTTCCACGCCGGTCAGCCTCGTCCTGGGAAATGAGCTGTAGAGGGAGAACACCTTGAAAGACTCAGCAGCTGAGGGGTGAGCCAGGCACTCACCTGCCTCCTGGAAAAACGCTCCTGCCCTCCCTCCCACCTCACAGGCAGGAGCTTGCCAGGGCTCCCAGGGATGGGGCAGAGGCCAGAGCAGGGTTCCCAGGGAGCAGCGCACATAGAACACGCTCCTCCACAGTGGAGGGCCAGAGGTACTGAGATGTGTTCTGAAATAGCACAAGACTCACTCTCCAAACCCGGTCAGAGTGAGCCCATGGCCACGGCAGAGCTGGGGAAGGCAGCTGTCCCTGCTGTCCCCATGGCTGAAGGAAGCCCTCCCCCCACAGGCAGACCCCCGTTCACCCAGCACAGCAGCACTGACCTCCCCACAGTACTCGGAGATGAACTCGTTCTTCTGCACAGCCTCCTTGATGAACGTGCCCCAGCCAGCCACGTCCGACGGGGCCAGCAACAAATGCTGGAACCAAGGTGAAAGGAAGGGTTGGCAGGTACAGCACCTCACAGCACCCAGATCACAGGGGCAGAGGGGAGTCAGTGTCCATCCAGCATCCCCTTGTTATGGTGACACATGGTTCCCTACAGACTTACACCATTATATGGAGCTGCACAGGACTTGACACACACTAATTTGCAACTTTCTCTGATTTTTTTTTTTTTTAATGCAAAATCCCTTGCCCTGACCAGCAGAATTCAAGACTAAACCTTTCTCTGGAGCCACTTTTTTTTTTTACACTCACTTGCTCTCAACCCTTCCTCACGTAACTCACGTCTCCTGATTTTCACATCCACAATCCCCACTCCAGAGTAAGTGCTGCAGAAGCCTGGGGCAGAGCAGCTTCTCTTCCAGACCTCAGCACTCAGGCAGCTGTGAGGGCCTCATGCCCCCCTCCCACACAGCAGCAGCAGCTGTGTATCAGCCCCGAGGCAGCCCCTGCCATGCTGCTGCCAATACCTTTTTGAGACCTCGCTGGATGCTGCAGTTCTTGCAGGAGACCACCTTGCAGTCCCAGTGCTCCGAAGCGCCGCAGGTGAGGCAGAGGTCGGGGTCGCACTCCCGCACAGCCAGGTAGCACGGGCACTGCTTGGTGTTGCACTGGGTCTTACAGCGGCAGCCCGGGAAGCGGTTCTGACCTGCAGTGACACAGCCCACGGGTTTGCACTGTGAGGTTTGGCAGAGAACAGAGGGGCCACGCAGGGTCCCTGCCCCAGATGTTCCTCCCCTAGCCAGGTCTCACCCCGGCAGGGCCTGGGCAGGGAGAGAACAAAGCCTGGCTGTTGCTTCCATTGCAGAGCTGGGAATGAAAGCCCAGACACGAAAAACAAACATGGCAGAGCAGTGACCCAATGCCCATCCTAAATGCTGGTCACACATCCTGCTCACAGGGGACCAGCAGCAGAGCACCCATGGGATACAGATACCTTGATGAGCATCCTCTAACAGCAGCGTCTCTCAGCTGCCAAGAGTTGCAGGGCAGCATGGAACTATTTCCCTTTGGACTTTAAGAGCTGCTAATCAAACTGCTGCAGATGGACAGAGCAGTGAGTGCAGGAATAAAGCAGGCCCCTGGCATGCCCCAGCTCTGCACCCTCCCTCTGCTCTGTGCCAGGAGACCTGGCTGCTTTCCTGCCCAATAGTCCTCGGCCTCTCCTTACAGTCAGGGTTGCACTGGCAGAACTTCTCACAGAAATTCTGAGTCATGATGCAAGGGCAGGAGCTGTCACAGGGATGTTCTGGATGGTCACAGGGCTGGTAGTTGTACACCTGGGTTGGTGAATTATCTAGAGCAAGATGAGAAATGCCCGGATTAGAAGCTGTACGTTGCAGGAATCTTTTCAAAGCAGCACATGCAGGGCACTGGAGCAGAGAAGGTGCAAGCTTCTCATCTGCCTGCACTGGTGAGGGCTCCCACAGGCACAAGGCTGTGCTCACTGACCACAGCCCAGTGTACAGCAGGGCTGCACACCAGCTCTCAGCCTCCCCCTGGCTGCAGCAAACCCCACCAGAAGTGTGGCCTCAGCAGGCACTGGCACGGTCACAATGCCCCCAGCACCCCAGGGAGCCTGACTGGGCAGAGCTGCTCCTCTCTGCACTGCAGAGCTGCCAGGATGGTGAGCAGGACGTGGCTGTCCCGCTGTGGCAGTCAGAGCTGGAGAACTCGACCCTCACAAACCTCCCATGACACAGCCACAGCCAACACTACCTTTCTTCAGCTGGATCTTCCTGCAGTGTGCAGCCCACAGCCTGGAAAAGGAGCAGAAAAGGTTGAGGGGATGCATGAGCCATCAGGGAGAGCCGGCCAGGACTGCTCTGAACCAGCAGCCAGCACAGCAGAGACAGGCTTGGCAGGTTCATGCATTAGTGATCAGCAGCCGCCATAAAATGGAGAAAGATGAGAGCAATGCAGCTGCAGCAGAAGCTTTTTAAGGCAAACACCAGAGCCAGAATAATACTGGACACACTGGGATCAGCACAGAAAGTGGGTCACAGGTTGGGGAGCTGAGGATGAGGCTGCTGTTAGGGCAGTGGCAGCAGAGGCTGCAGCCAGCAATGCCCTGTCTTTGGGCTGAGCCCAGGGCCACAGGGCCACCGAGACCCCAGAACCACCGAGCCTCCAGCAAGGGCAGCAGCCCTCGAGCTGGGCCAGGGCCAGCACCCAGTGGCAGCACCAGCAGTCCCGTGTGACAGCAGGATGTGTGCACAGATGGGAGCCAGATG